TGTAATGTAGTCAAAGCTTAGCTGTGTTGGGAAGTTTGTAAGGGAAAATCTACCTGAAAAAGAAAGTGGAAGGTGTGGGTGCTGCCTCACCTTTGCCCACCTTTGTTTGTTTGTTTTAAACAGGTAACACTTGTGGGAATTCTTCCTTTGCATTTAACTTAATGGATTTTCATCAACTTTTGTAACTCCACTTGAACACTTACATTCTTTGGCTCGACTTTGCTCCAGCTGTTGCTGGCAGACCATCATTCATCATGTCTGGTGCTTTTCCTCCTTATAGGCTGTTAGACTTGTTTTTCTTGCAGGTGTGAATTCTCAACAGTTTATGCCGTTTGTGTTTTACAGTTTAATAAAAATGAATCCAATGTTGTTCAGTAGAACTATTAATGTTTATTTACACAGTGTTGTTTTCTAACTGAATGGTAAAGTCGTGTGAAAAGCACATCTATGCTTTCAGTTGTTTGGGGGGGTTGGCCTCGCTTACAGTGTCTTCCTGGGCTTGTTTATATTTGAGTGCTCAGTACATGGAATATCTCAACGCTGACCTTGATCTGCCTGAATGTAACATGGTTTTAAGCCAGGCCTCAGTTACTCAAGTTGATGTAAGAGTAGTGAGTGGATTAAAAGCTTCTTAGCAAGTGTGAATGTGCCTAAATGTGATATTTTAAAAAAGTCAGTTATACACAAACTAACTGAAATAATAATGCAAAAGGTTGGACAAAGATCTGGGTCAGAAACATTAAGTAAGGAGATGAGATGCAGCTCTGTCATCAGTTTTTACTGTAGGTCAAACAAATGTAACAATGTTATCAAAAAGGACGTTTATTTTCTCGATTACAAATAAGATGATAATAATAAAGTGAATAGGAATTGTCTTGATATAAGAAAAACCCAAAAAAATCCCAAACAGTAATGTTTTAATACCAGATGAGACAAATATGACATTTTTGGCAAAAACGATTCTTTGTTTGGGCAGAATGAATGCCAGTATCTAAACTTTGCATATGAAGCATCATGGTCTGGGTCTGTTTTAACTAGGGCTGTGCGCTATGACCAAAATCTCATATCCCCACAGAAGACATTTATCGCCCCGACAACGATATATGTATCACAAAATTTCACATTTTCTGTAAATTCTGTGGATCTCGGGCAGCTCGACTTGTGTAAGTGTGTATGTATCGTGTAGCTGGAGTCGAGTGTTTTGACTGTAACGGCCGCCATTTTCTTTGTATTTACTACAAAGCGTGCTCTAGCCTTTGAGTCTGAGGTTTATTTTGAGCACCTGAAGGCTCTTTGTTGCTTCTCATCCGTAAACTCTCTCACATGATTCTTGCGTAGGTGTAAGAAAAGGTTTGTCGTGTTTGAGTCTGAGGTAGGGCTGCTCGATATAACGATATATATCGATGACGATATAAAAACGTCTGTCGTTTCACCTTAGACTCAAACGTTAGAACAGGCTTTTCCCCGCAGCACGCCGTGTAATAAATACTCACAAAGAAAACGGCGCCGTTACAACTTATGTCTAAAAATGTATCATTTCATGCATCGGTTAAAACACTCGACTCCAGCTACACGACGCACAGCTAGAAACACTTCACGCAAGTCGAGCTGCTCGAGATTCACAGAAGTTACAGAAAATGTTAAATGTTTGTGATTTATATCGTTATTGGACGATAGATGTCTTATATCGGGATATGAGATTTTGGTCATATCGCACAGCCCTAGTCTGAGTTGGGGTTTGTTTTCCTTCATAATTTTACAGTTTTCTGGTCTGTGTCAGACTTTTCATAAACAAACCATGTCCATGTTACAGAGGGAGCCCTCGTTTAGGAGTAAGGTTAGAGAACTTTAAGGAATGAAT